AAAACATTTAGTCATTAGCATTTTAGGTACATTAGCCGCGGCTAACCCTGTTAGCTTCAAGTAGCCGAGGCTAAAAGTTTGTAAACGTCCGCAGGAGAGGCAGAGCTTTGTGACTTGGAGGAAGGAAGGAAGGGAAGTTCATTAGCAGGAACACTGCTGCTTATGCAAAGCTAGCAGACTCTGGGACCGCTAGCTTCTTTACGCGTTCAAAGGTGATTAAAAAAACAAAGTTAAAGGAGGGGAATTTAGCACCGTTAAGGTTATTCTGTGTAGTGAGTAATAAGTACGTTTTAGCAACATATTGTTTGGCTACTTTGCGGTTTCCTGGAGCTAGTCCGTTAGCAACACACTTCTGAACAAGTTAAGTTTTGCCTCTTGGTTTTATTTGGGAACATTTTATTAAATTAATTCCGCCCGGACCGCTTCAGCATCAAGGCGAGCGGGGAAGAGGACTCATGGCATCGGACGTGATAGAGAGTGAGGCGGCGTTGAAGGGTGGAAGTGATCCGAACAATAGCTCAGCCGAGTCAGTCACACCCAGCAGGACTCACTGGGATTTGGGAGACAGGCAGACATCTAGTCCTTCATCTTCCGGGGTGTCTGGAGAGGAAGGCGAAGAAGAGGAGGATTTGCAGGTCAGTCTGGTCTCCGAAGTGGAAAATGACGAGAAGTCGCTTCAAGAAAGTTTGAGCAAATCTAGAAATACAATGCAGGGAAAAGTGCAGAAAGATCCCGGAGGAGGAAGCTCTACCCCGGGTAGCCTTCCCAAGACACACTCCCCACTTGGAACAGCTGGAAGGTGAGTATTTATCAGGCATTTATTTAGGCCATTCAGGTGTGTGGGTGTACAATTACCTAGAACATATAAACAACTATTTAGTGCAATTATTATCCTCTTTCTAAACGCTTTAGAACAAGTGGAAGTTTTTTTTTTTTTAAATCCCTTTAACCCTTTATAAGTTACCTTTTTTGATCACTTTGCATACCCCTCACAAATGGAGTCCCCCCTTCCCTCAGTAAAGTCTAGAAGCACAAGATCTATATCCAGCCATTCAGCTAATATATTGCTACATGGCTGTACATCTTATTTAGGCATCTGACCAATTAGATGAGCGATACATTACCTAATGTAAATTAAGTGGGGGAAAAAAGTTAAGTAAAGAAAAAAGGTAAAAACCTAATTGAAAAGTAAAAAAGTTAACAAGCCTAGTTCAATTCAGCTTATTTCTATAGCGCCAATTCACAGCACATGTCATCTCAAGGCACTTTACAGTTCACCAGATCATATAGTTAAATTGATTAAAAGTTTTATATCTAAGGAAAACCAGTTGATTCATTGACTCAAATGCAATCCCTCACACTAAGCATGCTTGTAGAAACAGTGGAGAGGAAAAACTCCCTTTTAACAGGAGGAAATCTCCAGCAGAACCAGGCTCAGTGTGAGCGGCCATCCGCTGAGGCTGACTGGGGTTCAAGGGGACAGAAGCAGAGATACAAAGAGATACTGCAAAAGGGGGCCCTGTCCAGGAAACACATAGCCAGGTAGACAATCTCCAAGCCAGCTCACATGTCAGAGGATGAAGAGAGCACATCCAGCCAGTCACAGTCAGAGAAACAGGACTACACTGGAAAACAGGCCCATCTCCAACATCTATATAAACAAAGGTGTTGATGGCAGCAGCTATTGTTAACAATTGTATTTAGCTTTGTAAACTAAAAAAAATGTTTCTTTAACTCTGCGTTTTTCATGAATTTCTCATAGAAGCACTTTTGTTTTTATATATATTCAGGCAAGTTGGCATTTCTTGTTATTACATTGACATTCATTTTGCCATCAAAATATCCATATTTTTTATGTTACAAAGGTAATTAGGTCTTGTCCTGGATCCAATAACACTATTGGCTTGAAATTTAGATTTTCAAAGTATTTCACTGAGTGCCCTATAAAGGGTTAAGATTCCTCATTGTCAGATTCCTTGAAATAAACCCTCTGAAGGTACAGATCCTTATAAATCATATCATCCATTTGTCTCAGCATGATCTTCTCTTTATTGAAGCTTTAAGAAATGTTTCACAAATATAGGTAAGAATTAGAAAAAATATTTGTTGTTTGTATTTTATTGAAATAAAAAGTGATTACATTCACTCTTAGAATCTCCTACGTTGAGTTTTTTAAAGCATAAAAGTCATANTTTTTTTTGTATATACCTAGTGTATGACGGTATCCATGCTATGAGTGCAAGCTGTTTTTAGAATCACGGGTATATATAGAAAAAATATATAGAAAAAAAAAAAATACATTTAGTATAACTGCATGATGAAAGGAGACGACAGAAAAGCCATTACAAAAGCGGATAAAATTTAAAACTGAAACCGTTTCTAATGCAACCTTAGAACTAAGGATAACTTTCAGTAATGTTTTATTTTTCTTTACGCCGAATCAGTTAAGCAAGCTTTTGTCTCCACCTAGTGGCGAAAGATGAAATTGCAAGAGGTAAATCCGCTCCACTAAAAACAGATCCGTGTGAAGTGAAAACAACTTTGTTTAAAATGAACATGAATACATTTTAATCACACTAATCAGATATCATATATAAATTAATTTAATCTGAGTATGTTTTCTCTAATAGCAGTATAGTATTTTTCTTTTTTTTCTCACTAACTTAAAAGTTTATTGTTTTTATATGTATGTATTTTTTGTATTACTCTATTCTGTGCTTTCACTCTCTGTTTAAACTCACTGTTTGATTCAAATCGTATTTTTACTATATTGTGCCACTCAACTAATACTAATATCAGTAATTTCCCACTGGAATGAGTAAATACTGTTGATTTTCTATACAGTTTAATCCTTATTTTATTTTATTATTGTCCTATGTGGTTTTGTTCTTGTCCTTATCGTATTCTATTCTTATACCTTATTTGTACTTACAATCTTGTTTTTCTGTCTTCTGAAAACGGTTTCACTGCAAGAAAAGAATTTCCCACAACGGATTAATAAAGTAATTCTAAATCTGCATTGTAACATTTACAGACTGCTGCACCCTAAGTGCACCAGGGCGCGTTATCACAGATCCTTCTTCAAAGTAGCTTTATGACTTTATGACCACCACTGTTCCCCAGAAGCATAGCCAGAACATTTTTATAAGGGTGGCCAGGCAATAACCAATGTACGTTGAGGGGTGAACGAAAGTGGATAGGCGCCAGAACCTTAGTGTTAAGCTACATCGTTCCAACAGGAAAATTAATGAGCATAACATCCATGTTTTCTAAATGAATATCTACTATCCTTTCCTACAGCCTTTGCTAACAAATAGACGCATATATAGTGGATACAAGTCTTTCAGGTTTAAGTTCTGGAGTAAACATAATTTCCATTGTCATTACTTATTTTTATCAATAATCATTCCGCAAAAAAAAAAAAAAAAAAAAAAAGAAATTGACTAGTAAAAATATCTACATAAGTTGATTATTTAATACGTTTTTATTAAAATAGTTATTTATCTTTGATTTCACTGAAGACTAGATGAATTGCAGAGACACATAATTTTGTCTTTACCCTATATAAAACAAAATCTAGTTCTGAAATGAGCATGAATTATGTACTTATCTTTAATTTCAGTATATTTATGTGCATAATTAACCAAAGTGTCAAATAAATGTTAATATGTGAAAAATTAAAATGGTTTGAATATTCCACTTGAGAGTATTACTGTTGCCACTGTCTGTATTAGAGGGAAAAAGTGGTAGGATTGGCCATCGGGGTGGCCATCCCTTGTCCCGCATCTAGCTCCGCCCCTGCTGTTCCCAACAACCTCAATAAGTTGTTACATTTATGCTGATTTTGCACAGTTTCTAATGTTATTCTAATACATTTTTCTAAGGTCCACATTTCTGTGATAATTTTCTCTATAATCTTTTTGCTGCTGTAAACACCAGAATTTCCCCATTGTGGGACAATAAAGGGATTTTCCATTCTATTCTATTCAGTTCCTTTCTATTCTATTCTATTCTATTCCATTCCATTCCATTCCATTCCATTCCATTCCATTCCATTCCATTCCATTCTATTCTATTCTATTCTATTCTATTCTATTCTATTCTATTCTATTCCATTCTTTTGTATTCCATTCTACTTTATCCCGTTCCATTCCATTCTATTCTTTTCCACACCATTCCATTCCATTCTATTCTATTCCATTCTATTCCTTCTGTCCCATTCCATTCTATTCTTTTCCATTCAATTCAGTTCCGTTCCATTCCATTCTATTCTATTGTATTCTATTCTATTCCATTCTATTCTATTCCATTCCATTCTATTATATTCCATTCTATTCTATTCAATTCCATTCTTTTCCATTCCATTCCAGTCTATTCTGTTGTATTCCATTCTATTCTATTACATTCCATTCCATTCCATTCCATTCAATTCTATTCTATTGTATTCCATTCTACTTCATTCCGTTCCATTCCATTATATTATATTATATTCCATTCTATTCTATTCCATTCTTTTCTATTCTATTCCATTATATTCAATTCCATTCTTTTCTTTTCTATTCCATTCCATTCTATTCTATTGTATTCCAATCTACTTCATTCCGTTCCATTCCATTCTATTATTTTCCATTCCATTCGATTCCATTCCGTTTCATTCTATTCTATTCTATTCTATTATATTATATTATATTATATTGTATTCCATTCTACTTGATTCCATTCCATTCAATTTTTTTATTCCATTCTTTTCTATTCTGTTCCATTCCATTATATTCAATTCAATTCTATTCTATTCTATTCTATTCTCTACATAACTACACAAACAGCACACATTGGACACTGAAAACCTAAGTTTCAAAACAATCACTAACAGATGAGAAAAATCCGCGTCCATGAGACGTTATTCTTAATGAGTTTTTCATTATAATAAGCAACAAACTGTGGTTGAGCGCCACTCATTGGATAAATATGCTTGCCCACGGGCAAGGCATTCATTGAACCGTCCATGGTTGCAACCATTCGCAAGTTAAGGAGTCTGAAACTTTGTTAAGCTTAAAATGCCGCTATTCGCTCATGTTCTCTAAGCGAGATGACGTGTCTTATATACAGCAGAGAGCTGGGCAGATAAAGTAGACATCCGGTGAAAAACATTTAGTCATTAGCATTTTAGGTACATTAGCCGCGGCTAACCCTGTTAGCTTCAAGTAGCCGAGGCTAAAAGTTTGTAAACGTCCGCAGGAGAGGCAGAGCTTTGTGACTTGGAGGAAGGAAGGAAGGGAAGTTCATTAGCAGGAACACTGCTGCTTATGCAAAGCTAGCAGACTCTGGGACCGCTAGCTTCTTTACGCGTTCAAAGGTGATTAAAAAAACAAAGTTAAAGGAGGGGAATTTAGCACCGTTAAGGTTATTCTGTGTAGTGAGTAATAAGTACGTTTTAGCAACATATTGTTTGGCTACTTTGCGGTTTCCTGGAGCTAGTCCGTTAGCAACACACTTCTGAACAAGTTGAGTTTTGCCTCTTGGTTTTATTTGGGAACATTTTATTAAATTAATTCCGCCCGGACCGCTTCAGCATCAAGGCGAGCGGGGAAGAGGACTCATGGCATCGGACGTGATAGAGAGTGAGGCGGCGTTGAAGGGTGGAAGTGATCCGAACAATAGCTCAGCCGAGTCAGTCACACCCAGCAGGACTCACTGGGATTTGGGAGACAGGCAGACATCTAGTCCTTCATCTTCCGGGGTGTCTGGAGAGGAAGGCGAAGAAGAGGAGGATTTGCAGGTCAGTCTGGTCTCCGAAGTGGAAAATGACGAGAAGTCGCTTCAAGAAAGTTTGAGCAAATCTAGAAATACAATGCAGGGAAAAGTGCAGAAAGATCCCGGAGGAGGAAGCTCTACCCCGGGTAGCCTTCCCAAGACACACTCCCCACCTGGAACAGCTGGAAGGTGAGTATTTATCAGGCATTTATTTAGGCCATTCAGGTGTGTGGGTGTACAATTACCTAGAACATATAAACAACTATTTAGTGCAATTATTATCCTCTTTCTAAACGCTTTAGAACAAGTGGAAGTTTTTTTTTTTTTAAATCCCTTTAACCCTTTATAAGTTACCTTTTTTGATCACTTTGCATACCCCTCACAAATGGAGTCCCCCCTTCCCTCAGTAAAGTCTAGAAGCACAAGATCTATATCCAGCCATTCAGCTAATATATTGCTACATGGCTGTACATCTTATTTAGGCATCTGACCAATTAGATGAGCGATACATTACCTAATGTAAATTAAGTGGGGGAAAAAAGTTAAGTAAAGAAAAAAGGTAAAAACCTAATTGAAAAGTAAAAAAGTTAACAAGCCTAGTTCAATTCAGCTTATTTCTATAGCGCCAATTCACAGCACATGTCATCTAAAGGCACTTTACAGTTCACCAGATCATATAGTTAAATTGATTAAAAGTTTTATATCTAAGGAAAACCAGTTGATTCATTGACTCAAATGCAATCCCTCACACTAAGCATGCTTGTAGAAACAGTGGAGAGGAAAAACTCCCTTTTAACAGGAAGAAACCTCCAGCAGAACCAGGCTCAGTGTGAGCGGCCATCCGCTGAGGCTGACTGGGGTTCAAGGGGACAGAAGCAGAGATACAAAGAGATACTGCAAAAGGGGGCCCTGTCCAGGAAACACATAGCCAGGTAGACAATCTCCAAGCCAGCTCACATGTCAGAGGATGAAGAGAGCACATCCAGCCAGTCACAGTCAGAGAAACAGGACTACACTGGAAAACAGGCCCATCTCCAACATCTATATAAACAAAGGTGTTGATGGCAGCAGCTATTGTTAACAATTGTATTTAGCTTTGTAAACTAAAAAAAATGTTTCTTTAACTCTGCGTTTTTCATGAATTTCTCATAGAAGCACTTTTGTTTTTATATATATTCAGGCAAGTTGGCATTTCTTGTTATTACATTGACATTCATTTTGCCATCAAAATATCCATATTTTTTATGTTACAAAGGTAATTAGGTCTTGTCCTGGATCCAATAACACTATTGGCTTGAAATTTAGATTTTCAAAGTATTTCACTGAGTGCCCTATAAAGGGTTAAGATTCCTCATTGTCAGATTCCTTGAAATAAACCCTCTGAAGGTACAGATCCTTATAAATCATATCATCCATTTGTCTCAGCATGATCTTCTCTTTATTGAAGCTTTAAGAAATGTTTCACAAATATAGGTAAGAATTAGAAAAAATATTTGTTGTTTGTATTTTATTGAAATAAAAAGTGATTACATTCACTCTTAGAATCTCCTACGTTGAGTTTTTTAAAGCATAAAAGTCATAAGTTTAAAAAAAATCATAACAAGATGTGTTAAAATTAAGTTGAATTTTCTCATATATTTTACAGCAAAAAACAAAGGTTCTGACTTAAGAGTGAAGTCAACTGAATGTGGTTCTGTTTGTTAGGTTAGTTTTCCACACAGTTTAAACTATATTTACTCAGAATGACGCTTGCAACATATACATTGTTTATCAACTAAATGTAAACAGCAGATAGACAGCAGGTCTTTAAGTCTAAGAGCTGATAAAGCTTTATAGTCATCTACACAATTAACATTTTTCTTTCTAGGTTCAGGTGCTGCTGCTGTCATTATCCATTGCAGCAATCACTGGTCTTATAAGTTGCCTCAGTGCTGTAGAACGTTTTATAAACTCAAACATTTCTTTGCGTACTTTTACCACAATAAAAACCTTGTTACCTTTTTTATATGATCCTTTCGAAGTGTTGTTTTATTTATGTTTAGTGTTCTCCTTTAATATAACCGTTTTCATAGACATATTATTTTCAAAGCTGTAATTAATTGTAGGAATTTCATATTTAAATGGTGGAATAGATGAAGAACCAGTTAGATCTGTAACTTTTTGTTTGTTGTGAAAGGAGTCCTGTAGGTCAGTTCCAGATGAATCAACAGCAGATGCTATCAGATTCAGACAGGCTTATGTTGGTGTTTATTAGGCGTGTAAGGATACGCCCGTCTGATTAGTTTATGATGCCTGATCTTGGTTTCTAGTGAATAGACCAATTTTAGCTGAATTTCCATAGTAGTGAGGAATTTTGTTTTTCAAACATGCTATGAAAATAAACTCGAAAAGGGAATGTTATAAGGAAAAAAGTATAAATTTATTTTTTTTTGTTTTTGTATTTTCAAAAAAGTAAACCGTTCTTACATCTGTCATAAATTCATACTAAATTTCTGCATTTTTCCATAAGATGGAGCTTTTTGGAAAATAATCAAACTTAAAAATAAAAACTTAAAATTGTTCACAAACAAATAGGGCTGAAACAATTAATCGTAATTAATCGATTATGGAAATAATCATCAACTAATTTAGCAATTGATTAAAATAATTACCTGGAGTATAGGGACTCTAAAATGTGTCTTTAGCTGACAGAGCAACACAGTTAGAGCAGTAATTATATCAAAATTGTAAAAAAAAAATATATATATATAAACATGTTGCATTTAAGATAAAAAAAAAAGCAATAAAAAAAAAACTTTTTAATATGTCAATATGCTCTATGCAGAACTTCTCAAGTGGAATCGTTTAAGTTTCACCTGGTTTAATTTAGTAAAAATCTTCCTAAAGTAACCTTTGGCTATCAGATTAATAATCGATTAATAAAAAAAAGTTAGTTGCAGCCCTACAAAAAAAAATCAATGATAATGTTTTTCAGCAAAGCGTAAAAAAGATCAGCTTGTTTTTCTGTCAGCTTCGTAATTCAGAAATAGTGGCCTGCTTTGACTTCTTTTTTTTTTTTTTTTTTTTTTTTTGCAGAATGCAATCTTTTGTTTTCAGCTCTCTTTTTGAAAGATTAGACCAATGCATGAGCAGCATCTTAGCAGGCTTGTTGTGAATTGCTGGACAAAATGTGTGGAATTTCTATATAAACATAAATACAGTGCCTTAGTGTGTTAAAGGAAACCCTGTGAAGCAGTAATACAGACGCCATATTTTGCATTAGCAAGGTTTGAGGCTTATAAATTAAGCTCTTAGCAGAAGCTGGTAAGCTTTCAAAAAGCAAAAGACCTGATTAGGAGACCAATTACAAGCTGTAACTTATGACTAAATATGCAAACATGGGACTAAAAGTGTATTGTATGATGATTAGCCTCACAAAGCATCTGTCGGCTCATTTACTGGGATTACGGTGCTTTCTCGTGTGAATGTCTTTATGTTTACTGCTTCCGTTACACTCCACATACTGCTTTGTGTCAATACATAAACAAAGCTTGGAGAGCTTCCTGATCATCAACTCAATCCTTTAATTAAGTCGCTTCTACACACCAGTCATTCTCAGTGTATAAATGTTACAGTTTTATGCTTTTTATTTACGATAAGGAATCAGTTCAACATATCAAATCCTTTTAATAGGAATGTTTGAAAAGCCGACCTTTAAACTTTCCTTTGAGGCCATCAGCAGAGACTGCTGTTGGTGGGCCTAAAGGAAGCTGTAATTTACCTTAGACTTTAGTAAAGGACAAATTAGACCCGGTTTCCTTGAAGCGATTCCCCATCATTGAACTTTGCTGTAATCCTTACAGTTGCCCCAGTGTCTTTTAAAGAACAGGCTGCTTGTGTCTGACGCAGTAACCCTGAAACAAACGTAGCTGTGGTGTTTTGGCGGATCAGTTCAACTTTAAGACTTCCTGCCTAAGCCCTTTAGGACTCTATGCATCATCTTTGAAAAATAACCAATTACGTGTTTAGATTGTACAGATAATCTGTGTCGAACCAGTCTTGATCTTAGTCCATTTTATTCTACAAAAGCCACCTTATTTTTCAGCAATTCTATACTTTTAACTATGAAATGTTTGATTCTTGTTTGCTTTACAAACAGCTTCGAGCGGCAAGAGTCGGTTGCCACCACAGAAGCCCGTTTAAGATTGGAAGGAGTTGAACTGAAGGAAGAATGGCAAGATGAAGACTTTCCACGGTACTCACAGCCTCACATGCTCTAAAATTTGAAGATTAGGTTTTCTGGGAAAACCATGATGTGCTGAAGTCTAGATGCTGTTCATGTTTATTAGGCCCCTCCCAGAGGAAGAGGAGCTTGATGAGTTTTTTGCTGGAACCTGTGAAGAGACAGAGCCTGGTAATCACAACAACATGCTGCACATTTCTGCAGAAAACTTTATTCTCTGCAAAGAAATCTAATTGTAAAAACTTTTTTGCATTTATTCTTCTTTTCTAATAATAAGTCCCAAGTTTTCATTAAGGCTTTAAAAAAAAAAATTAACCTGTGCGTAAAATAGTTTCACAAATAATAGAACTTTAATGATTTCCCTCTACTTATAGAATATGCAGAAAGTCAAGGTAAGAAGACCAAGAAAAAACTTCCTGCTCCAGACATCAGTTTAACTCTGGACCGCAGCGACGGTTCTGTTCTCTCTGACGAGCTGGAAGAAAGTACAGAGCTGGATCTCGATGAAATAGAGACCCCCTCAGACAACAGCAATGAGTTTGAATGGGAAGGTAAACTACTTCTTTGCTTTAGTGCTAACATTGCATCTTTAAATGCTGGTTGTTTTCATTTGTCTTATAAACAGAAAATGATTGAACATGAGGAGAAGCAGTCTGGTCTTGTTTAATCTTGATTTCTAAACATTTTTGCAGGAGTTTGCAGGTTTCTTTTTGGTAGCTTACTGCGTTAACCGTGTTTAAAATACTGTCTGTTGTGTTTGTGTTCCCACATTGCTGCATTCTTCTCTTTCACTTGGAAGAGTTGTTTCCTATGTGTGCCTGGAAACAGGCTACAGTCCAACAGCAGGTTTTTCTCTACCTGTGGTAAGGGCTCTTAGATGAACTTCATCATTTGTCTGCAAACCACAATTCAATCATACACCGTTATTCCAATCATGTGTTCAATTATTTCAATGTTTTCCACTTTTCTTTATTTGATTATTTATTTTCTTGGTTTATTTCAAATGTTCATTTTCAATGTTCAAATGATCATTTTCTTTCCACATTGTGCTATTCATTTTTTTTTTTAAAGTGCAATACCTCTGCCACAGAGCATCATGCTGCTATCTCTATACCTATACACGGTATTCTCACACTTGCAAGCGTGCTCTGTTTTATATGCAAATATAAAGCAGTATTATTCAAAAACCTTCAGTTTTGGTTACGTCAGACTGTACCTCATACCTTTCCAAAAGCTGGCATCTTTCTTACTCATGTCAGTTGCAAACTCTTAACCTTGCTTTTTATGTCTAGGTCCCTAGCATAAAACACATTAATATCTGGGACACAGACGGTCTCCTTCCTGAACTGTGATAGCTGAACATTCCTGTGATGTTTAATTGTTTAAACAGATAAACTTGAGCCTCTTAAGGCATCTGAATGTTGTACCTTAGGGGAAACCAGACTTGTGAAGGTCCACAGCTTTCTTTTATCCATGTTTGCAGATTCAGTCTGAATTACACTGTCAGAAGTCAATACATTATTCTCTCGTTTATGTCGTATAGTTTAAAGGATTATTCTGCATAGTGAATATAAACTTCAAAATTTGACAAACGTGATGAAAAATGTCTGTCAAACAGATCTTATTCTGGCATTTAAGAATTAGATAATAGCTATG